TTATTAAAAACCTTAGTAGCAATGATGTTGTTTCTAGTTTGGACGAGATTAACTCATGATAAAGTTGCTGAAATCTACTGAAACAAATATGAATCTTTCTAAAATTTGAAGGTCAACTGAGTTTATAATTATTCAACCTCTTTTTCGATTCAACAGTATAACTAACAAAGCACTAATCACACACAGGTTATATAAATCCATCATTACTACTTTTCTTTTATTATTTTTTTAACTGAGCGACGCAATTTAGTAAGCTAAATGAAACTTAATGCCGTTGAATATGATACCTTTGCAATTAATAGTGTATTCGAATTGAACTTCCTATAAATACCTTTTAGTCACATGGGGTGTGGGTGTATGTGAATGTGAAATGCGCGAAGATAAGCATCCACAGTCAGAGTCACAGCCATAGCCATATACATACTCCCACCCACAGCCTAACCTGCACCCACACTCTATGGATTGAGCATCTATAATAGGATGTCAGGTGCGACCCTCATGCAATGACTCCTAAATCGATTCAATTCCATAAACAAGTATTATTTCAACACACACTGACACTGTTCTACCGAAATAGAATGAGGGTGTGAATGTGCGTGGGTACATGGACTTATACTACAAAAATTCAAAGCATCATATAACATACTCTAAGTATCGCTTAGATACTCAGCATCATGTATGTTTGGAATCTAATACGGAACAGGAAGACTACAGATTAGAAGACCTCACCATTTGAAATTTATTTCATTTGCTAAGTCGAAGTATGTGCAACGCGAAAAATAAGTATCAAATATTGTATATTTGAATCAGGATCAAAGAGAGATGATGAATATTAATTTTTGATTTTGACTGTGGAACTTATTTTATTGATTATGGATTGGAAGAGAAAGATGAATTTTCTTTTCTTTTATGAAATATACACATTCAAGCTGACTAAGCATTTATATAAAATATTTTTTCGTTCGTATGCCGTTTTTGTTGTGCCTAAATAGCTAATGTCGTTGTAGCTCTTGATTGCGGGTGTGGGTAATCAAAAGAGTCACACCGACATCTATAGCAACATCGTTTTGTATTAGATGTTCATGACAATGTTTTCTTGACGTCCAAATAATCGGGATTATATTTTGACACTGACTTATTGTCAACAGCTGGCTTTATTTCATTTGACTATCTATGTTACCCAATAATATTTTACTGATATGACTCATCTAATACCACACTTGTAAAATACGTCTCGTTGTATCGCATGTAAAAAATACATTTTTTTCTCTCTTCACTACCTATGCCACCCGTTTTTTTTGCCAATAATCATGTGAAGAACGCAAGAAAAAATGATGTTAATTTCATGCGTCATTCAAAATAAATCGAGCAGAAGAAGAAAAAAATTATGCACATTTATTCTTGCTACTAACTATTTCAGAAGCACGATATGGTAGTGGACAACGTTATCTTTAAGACTTTCGATCAAGCATTGCCAAAAATAGAACGAAGAAATGTTTCTGTGCTGACTATAGTGATATTGGCCTATGTATTGCTGATTGTAGGAAGTTCTCTGTTATTTGTCAGCGCCGTTGTTAGCCTAGGCTTCATGTCGTACGAACCTGACATTGTCGATTGGTTTTTGATAATAACTGTTTGTATCGCTGTTAGTACTTTCATCTTCGTCGCCGGCAGTTGGTGCATGTGGCATGAAATAAATAAACTGAATCGAGCCAGATCGACGCATTCTATCGTCACGTGTCATTCAAAATTAATCGAATGGCAATACGATGTAGACGAATGGGATAGGTAATTGTACAAATATAAACAAAAATGATAGTGTTTAGTAGTTCTTTCTTTCCAACAACAATGCTTCTATGATAGAGATTATAAAATGATAGATCAAAAGAATTATTTCCTATTTTCGACCATTTGATTTTTACAGAACTAATTCTTTTCTTCTCGTGGTCAATCAGATTAGAAAACTTGAGATAGTTTCATGACATTCAAGAACTATTGAAGGGTTTATTCGTCGTGTTGCACTTCGTAAGAGATTTTAGTATGTTCATGACTAATTATTCAACAGACTTGCTAAATTATGGCGTCTTCGATAAGTAATTTTTTTTTCTACACTTGAAATAAACGCATTAATGTGCTTCTAGATATGTGACATATATTTGTAACAATCAACGTTTGGTCTCTCCATTAGCTTGGTGGTGCTATAGTCGATACAGACAACTCGTACGTCGAATTATTTGTAATCGTAATGGCGGTCATATAGTATTATCTAAAATGGGTGTACTTGCTGACGATCTATTTGTTGTCCATTTTCGTCCAAATGGACTCATATTTAGTCAGGCTCAGTTGTTTGACATTGATCAACAACCCATATTACGCTTACATTTACTTGCTCTTCGAAAAACACAAAACGACTTACCAATATATGCTCCATGTCATGTCGATATTTTCGTACCTCATGCAATACAAGAGACCAAGAAAAGTCTCGCATTACTTGTCGATTCTTTAAACGATAACTTATCAATAGTAGATGACAGTGACACTATGCATTCCAAGAAAATTCTAGAAGATTTCGGGGAAAAGACAAAAACAATCGACGTTTGATTCATTTTTGTATCGACTATACTGCACTCGAACCAAAAAACGTAAAAGTCTTTCCTATTGCTTTGCATATATTCATTTACACAAGCGTCTTTTTTATTGCATTCATTATTGACATTTGTAAATATCTAAAAAATATATGTTAGCCAGTAACTATTGTCGGCGCCAGAAGTAGATGGGGAAAACTGTGAGAGGAATATCTCCCGAACGGATGCAGCTAGCGAGCTAACTTTTTCACCATTAGAAACAGGACAGTCTGGGGCATAAGTGTATGCTATATTCAGTCGGTTAATGTTTGATCAAGGTTGTTAGTTATAATTGAAGATTTTGTGCATCACAGGACAAAAACGTTTTTCATATGAGTTCTCAACTTCAAGATAATCATTCGATAGCGTAAGATCTCCTTTTTTTAATCTACACAAACTCGACCTTTCTATCACTCACCGTTCAAAAGTTATCCTCGTTACACTGAGCGTCTTTAACGCGTCAAAAAAACGATTTTTGTTTTTGAGAAAAGTGCCTTACTATTGTATATTCGTGAAGGTTTTCAATCACTCTTAGTTGAACGATGGCGACTGAAGTGTCATGCAGATATGATTTACTTTGATCACGACTGAGTTTTATCATTCCTCCTAACTCTGATACAGCTAGTGTTTTCTGCCAGCCATTTTCTCTTTTATTTTGCTGTTTCCAATGATTGTGAATCTATTACAAAGAAAAACGTATGAAAAAAGAAATCAGTCTATGTGTTTTCATAACTGGCATCGAAAAGATTATCGACCTCGACATTCGAGTCGTCATCAATTAATTGTGGCTCAATAGTGTTCTCTAAAAGTTCATCCACTGCTTTATACATAGCTTCAGCTTTTTCAGCATGACAAATTGCACCTTGCGCAGGGTTGTCATCAAAGCCAGCGATGAATTCGGCGACTAACTCATAAAGATTGTTCATTGAAAAGCTAGTATTGGTATTACGAGGATAGTCCTTGAATCCGGACCAGGCGATCTCAACCGGATTTTATGAACAATGACGCATTGGCAAACGCAATATTTGTACATTGAATTCTTGAGCAATTTCGTCGATCTAATTATCATAGATTCAAAGCATATAAGTAACATAGAGGGTGTTTTGTGTGGGTGTGAGCGTGGTTGTATAAAGGTGTCGCTGGAGAGATGAGTGAGACCCAGAGCCACACCTGCCCTCGACGTTATGGGTTGCCATTTTAAATAGTATATAATTTAAGTAGTATACGTGCATACAGGAAAATGAGTAAAACTAAGTTATTTTATGTAAATGAAAGCATTGAATAAAACAGAACAGTATTCCTGAGAGCAGAATATTTATCAGGCTCGTTCAACACACTAATTTAAAATGTGTCGCAAGTGTCGTGTTTTGCGACACATTGTACGACACATTAGAGTGCGACACAAGGAGCTCACTGCGACACATTTTCTCCAGCAGGACCACGACACATTTCGTACGACACATACGACACATTTTCTATTGGTCCTTTTGGAAAATCATATTTCGATGTTTTTTTTTCAATTTAATTCCATTTAATTATTCCTATTCTGTAAATTCAAGCTGGTCAGATCCTGGGATCTGTCCAATCTCTAGTTGATCTGATTTGTATCAGACCGCTTCAGAGTAGTCCTCTCACGATCATAGATCGAGATTGGCATTTTCTCGATAAAAAAAATAATCGAAAAATAATCTAGAAAATAAAAATAATTTGAAATTTTTTTTCTATGTTAAACCACGTTGTTTATATATGACCATGTGTGCATAATAAAACGGTGAACGAATAGTTAGCAGACAGAACGCGACAAATTCGTATACGACACATTCCAAGCACGACACATTTTTCTGCTGGAGTGTGCGACACAATAATTCACGACATATAAACACAACACATTTTTTATTTAGTGTGCACAGAAGAAGATCAATCAGACATTTATCACAGTATAAAAATGCTTAGAATTTATAATTGGAGAGTAGTCTAAACAACAACCAGAGCGAACATTCCACTGAAATAATTTTCTAGTAGCCTACGCAAATGTATAGCATGCTCGTATATCTCCATTTATCAATAAGTAGTAAAAATTCATGGGATAAAAAAAATAATATTGGTGATGGTGCATTATCCTACCAAGTCTAAAGGGTTTGATCCGTTTGAGATCAAATCCAAATCTGACCGAGACATTAGATATCAATACTGGATCCAAATCTAAATCTTAGAAATCAAATCCAAACTCAACTGCAAACATTAGATATCGAATTCAAATCCGAGTCCAAACGAAATCCAAATCTAAATTCAAATCCAAATACCTCATAACAAATCTCAAGGCTTCATGTTTTTGCATTCCTAAATTCTACTGTAGTTAAAAAAAACTATTTCAGTTCATATTATTGTTGTAGTCAAAGATTTACGCCCATATGTTTGTAACCATTTGAGTTCTTCTCGAACTTTGATTTTTAAATGCCAAGGATTGATCCACGGCGAGTGTCCTTCGTTGGGAAAAAGTAATAGTTTCACAGGTACTCCTAAGTAATGTAGCCCACGTTCCAGTATGTAGCTTTGATCAGCAGGAATTTGAGTATCATCTGTACCTGTTATTATATGCGTGGGTGTACGTACTTTTGCTAAGTGGTAAATAGGAGATTCCGCTTGATATATATGAGGTACTTCCCATGGAAATCCGCCAAATAAATAGCTGATTGACGCAGGTAGATCCATTGCACCCCAAGTAGAGACATGTTCAATAGAACCGGCCCCAGTCAGAGCAGCCTTGAAACGTGTGGTTTGTGTTATTAACCAGTTCGTTAAAAAGCCACCATAGCTGTAACCACCTACTGCAAGACTATTTGGATCAGCAATACCATCTTTTATCAGACGATCGACTCCTGAAAGTATATCTCTGCCTGGTAAAGATAAAGGATAATAACGAATTTCATTAAGAAACTGATCACCATATCCGGTTGATCCTCGATAGTTCGGTTCTAACACTAGCCAACCTTCCGATGCTGCCAATAGAGTCAAAGAAGCTGCGCTTCCATCAAATTGATTGATACTTGCTGCATATGGACCACCGTGAAGGAGAACAAGAAGTGGTAGATTTTTCGATTCAAATTTTTCAGGTGGATAATGTAAAATTCCTTCAATTGCACGATCATCTACATCACTAGTCCATTTATATACTTTATTTTGCGGTAAATTTATTTGAGTCAACAGTTTATTTTCATTTGTTATTGCTTTTGCTGATTCGAGTTTGTTTAGATTGCGAATAAAATAAATTTCTTTTGGTTGTCTGTATGATGAATAGAGGAATGCTAATGAACCGTTCTGATTTGATGATAATGTAATAGATTCATACGTTCCATTCCATCCATGTTGCAGAACTGAATACCTTTCCGTTGATTGTTGTGTGTAGATGTGCACATTTGTACCTAGTTGTCCAAGTATGTAGACACCGTCGGATCTCGTCGCGTATTCCACGATATTACCATTGAAATTCCTTGCTAGACGTTCGATTTGCCCGTTCGTTAAATCTACGGAATACAAATGTTGTTGTGTAATGTTGAAATTTCCTTTGGCCAAAATTTGACCGATCTGCCGAAATAATACATATTTACCGTCACTCGACAATTGTAGATTATCCTCAATGATTTCGTTGTTTGTTATTCTTGACAATGATGATAGATTTCGTAAGTCAATTGAATATATTTCAAAATCCTTGACGTTCTCCAAAATTCCTCCCACGGATGTAAATACAAGTTTTTGTTCGACTGAAGAAAACAATAATTGACCAATTAGAAAAGAAACGTTCTTGAGAATATTTCTTTTCGCAACTAGTGTTCGATTTTTTCTATCAATATCGATACGATAGATTGTACTATCGATAGAAGATTTACGTTTTCGATATTGAATCACATCTTTCCACTCAGCTTCATCTAAATCTTCGTCTTCTTTGGTTGATGAAGGCCTAACTGTAGCAAAGTAAAGAGATGAATCATTGTTCGACCATGTCAGAGCGGACAGAATTTCTGTTCCAAATGAAACAGACAAGAGTTGCTCTGAGAGCACACAATAGAAATAAATATACTGTTCGATTTTTTCATCACTTTCGGATAAGCGTCGATAGTGATAATGAGTGTGTTGGTTATTTGTCATTGAATTTTCAGTTTGTCGTAGTACAATCCAATTTCCGCTGGGTGACCATTGTGGTTTGAATTCTTCTGACAATTTTTTTGTGATCAGCTTTTTTCTTCGTCCTTGCGTTTCATATAACCACAGGCTATTTTCATAGTTGTTGGAATCCCATGTTAGACGTCTGATATGAACAAGTAACTGTTGTCCATCTGGGGAAAGACTGAAGGATGGAAAATGTGTATAATTAAAATATTCATCCAATGTTAACTTGGACTTTGTTGAAGTCGATGAACACAACATGAATTTGAAAATGAGTAGTAAGAACAAATTCATTGTCATTGTTCGTTTCAATCTAAAATCAAGAGGAGGAGTAAGTTGACGGACGAGACTGAAAATGTTGTCGTTGAGGTGTAAATGTACCTTACAATCCAACTCGATCATTGACTACGATGCTCAGATACGGTATTGAAAAGTTAGCTGGTGGAAAATCTCTAGTATCGGAAAGGTGGAAGTCATAGTTTTCACTAGCATCAATAATGTATAAAGAAAATGTTGATCAGCGGTATTATACGAATCTTAGTAAATCTAATAGAACTTCAGTTAAAAAGGATTATCAGTGAGATTATGAGAAGACAAATAGGTTAGCCAATACAAATGATTCATTTTTCGGGTAGTCTAATATCTAAAAATTTGGTCAAAAAAAAGACACTGTAAGTTCTCTCTGTTAATACATACATATTTTTGAACAGGAAAGTTATAACTATTAAATATAAAAAATATAGATTTTTATGAAAGTATCTGTACAGGAAAACCCTTTAAGTAAATCAAACGAGCAATGAAATTTGATTCTGATAATGCAAGAATGAGTCAAAAGCAGGTACTGTTAGGATTCAGGGCAAGTAATGGCAGTTTCAGAGTCAAAATTTTCTCTATTCTATCGTACTAACGTCAATGAATCCTGTGAAATTTTCGCTCAGACTCTCAGATACATCGTTCTTGCCCGTATAGGTTTCATGAAGGTTCGAATTCTTTTGATTGAGATAACCGAAGAAAGTTTTCAAACTTGCTTCGTATATCTATTAAATCTTGTTCAAAACTTTCCTGATTGCCATGATCTTACGGTGTGCATGCTTCGTACAGAGTTTTAATAATTCAATTTGAGACATTATAAACTTCATGTATCTGAGCCGAAATACGGATATACGTATTTCAAATATAGTCTCTCGTTAGAAGTGCAATTCTGCAAATAGCTCTTTCAATAGAAAGGACTTAAAGCGAGAAAAGTTACATTGTGATAAATCACCTACTTTTATTACAGAGGAACCAATGATTCAAAACAATGTTAAAAGAAAGCGAAATTGCAAAATACATCAACGTCCAAACTGAGATTACGTTCAATTTCCAATTAATTATAGGAAGCATGTCGAATCTGGGATAGGCCTGAAATTGTTAAGCGAATCTAAGATTGGATCAATCCGATATCGCCCATGTGATTAGAACCGGAAAAAAACCGGCGATATACCGCCGGTTGATCGAACGGTATAATGTGCGCTCTACCGCCGGTTGACCGGCGGTACTGCCGGTAGTTCCAAAAAAACCGGCGGTATACCGGCAATATACCGGCGGTAATTTCATTCTTTACCGGTAGAATCAAGGCTCGAGCCTATTAATCTGCTTCTTATGAATCTGAGAATGAGTTTATATTATCGTATACAAAAAATTAATTTTATTACACTTTATCATTAGAAAATTTATTTTTCTGTTTTTATTCCAGTATTACATTTGGTCTTGAGCGAAATATAGGTCTTACTAAATTCTCTCTTCTCGGAAACACCTGTATTTCACTCAAGACCAAATGTAATACTAGAATTAAAATAAAAAAAAATTTTCAAATGATAAAGTACAATAAAATTAATTTTTTGCATACGATAATATAAGTTCATTGTCAGATTCATAGGACAATGGATCGTATATTTAATGATAAACAGTTCCGTTTGTTGCTACATTTTTCCGACTAAATAATGCTCAATAGATTCTAAATAAAAAATAAAATAACTCTTAAAAAATAAATAAATACTTTCTTTTGAAGTTCCAAAAATTGCTCTAAATAAAAGTAGAAAATAAAATAAAATAATAATGTTTTGCATGAATACGTACTTTTCATTTTGGATTGAGATCATTGTAAATAAAACAATAATATAGTAATAATAATTTATATAATAAATATTTACCGCTTATGGCAATGTTCACAATTCTCTAAATTAAAAAGAACGTTATTATATATATAGAGAGAGAGAATTTTACCATCAATATACCGCGGTAATCAATAAAACCGCCGGTTTTCTCGACTACCGCGGTATACCGGCGTTAGTTCAAGTAAATGTGCGACATGGGCGGCCTGAAAGATAAGTATGGATAGTATCGGAATGACTGAATACTAAGATGTAGGAGTTGAAAGGAATCATGCATGAAAAATACTCGAGAAGAAAAAGATTACGAATTTAAGTGAACACGAAAATCACACGATAAAATGAAACATGGATTTGGACCAATTTTCTAAGTTCACATAAAAAACAGCATATCAAATAAATGTCAGTGATACTTGACGGTATCCAATAGTAAGTAGCCTTAATCAACTTCACATCTGATTTGGTCCCCAAATTCATTGTCAGTTTTTTCATTAATGTCCTTTCAAATCGTCTAGCACACTGCACAATAATAGTACGTCGATCGGTTATTGATGAACGCAAGATTTGATTTCCAAAAATTTTGAATTTTTTTGCAGAATCGATGAAGTTTGACATCAATATCACTTCTCTTGTCACCCTTCATGCTTCAAAGCATGGAAATCTTACGATTGTAGTCAAATGTTAGTAATAACTATTCTGGATAATTTAATTTAATATAATTTTGTAATCGTTTAGTTTAGAGCATCATTTCCATTCACGATTACGTTTGCAAGCTCAATCACTGTTTTGCGAGTCGGTAGAATAGCAGCTACCAATAAGTGCCATTCAGAGAAATGAAACTGTACTTTGAAATAATACCTGAACACTTGCGTTTGTGACGCTGAATTTTACATGAATTTTGGCTCAATATTCTCCAACACTATTTTAGTTCAGCTTTTGCCCCGTAAGTGGCATACACCGAAGTAATAGATCTATTGCGGAATGTATTAACGATGTTTCGATTTCAGTTCTATATTGACCTAGATCAATTTGAAACTCGCTGTTACTTATCTTTCAGTTCGATATTGGTTTAGTTCAATCTTACGCAGATCATATATATGGGGTTGATCAGTCTGGCCGGAAGACCCATTAATATTTTTTGTATTGTAAGGATAAAACATAGTATTGTTCGGGCCATATGAGAGAGGGTCATAGATAACCCTAGATTGGCCCGAACAATACCATGTTTTATCCTTACAATAGTAGAGAAACGCTACTAGCTAATCTGTGAGCGCGTAACTTTTCTCTACTATTGTAAGGATAAAACATGGTATTGTTCGGGCCAATCTAGGGTTATCTATGACCCTCTCTCATATGACCCGAACAATAGTATGTTTTATCCTTACAATACAAAAAATATTAATGGGTCTTCCGGCCAGACTGGTCAACCCCATATATGTATAAATTGTACCTTCAATATTCTTTCGGAGATTGATACATACCTTTGTTCTGACTGATACTCCTTTAGCAATGACTATACAATCGTAGACATTTGCATAATGCATTCTACTTTATCCTTCGATCAACCAACGACAAGTATACATGTATATGTATACATAAAACACCTTTCAAATGGATTAGAAGATGCAATTCATATGATACTGCATATTAAGTTTTCTAGCCGTTATTGAGTATTATAGGACAGATTGTTGTTTTGCTGCCCTTCACGTAAAGTTTAACATACATCAACATAAGAGGATTTGCCTTTTGTTCGTTCGCAACATTTTGGCGACGAAAGATGAAATCGTAGAACAATATTATTTTTTTCCTGTTCGTACGACGCATTGAGACGTATGACTTCGAGTACTACCAGCAGCAGTGAGTGGGTTACACTTTTTTGTAATCCAGATACTGAAGATTCATGGTAGACTCAAATAGACACGTTGTTTTTGATGAAATATTTTCGGTGCATTCAACGATGTATTCAAGAGATTAAGCATCACTTTTGAACTCATCAGAGCAATTTCTCCCTTTCAATGAAATAAGGATATGTGAGTAGGAGCCATCTCTTCATTTACACAAACATGCTTCACCCACAGTCACCCACACTAGAGTTCATTGTATCCAAGATTTTTGGATCCAATCCCAGCAAAAAAATATTTTTAGACCCAGTACGGACCCGAGCTGGTCCGGATTCGGATCCTACCCGACGGGCTCTAACTCACATCCACCCACACCCTTCATTGGGAATTTTTACTGTGGAATACAAAAATATCGTTTTGACCATATATCCGTTTCGGCAATCTATAGCACCTTCGCATTCAGTTTCCGACCAATGATAGCTTTTGGAGTATTGCTCTGAGTATCATCACAAGGTTCAATCGTTTGATATCAATAGAAGTTTCAGACTACAATTGGAATGATGAACATCATCAATTGCAGCTCCACAAATTGCTTGTCCGAGCACCTCATTTATACTCAGTATAATTTATTCACTGCTATTCTTTTATCAAAATATCATCATTCATAAATACGAATGCTTCAATTCACATAGATGCAAACGGTCAAGGGACTTATTATGATAGGGAATGTGATTTATTGAGCCGTTCACTGCTGGGCAAACAATGTGAGACGCTTTCCATCAAAGTTAACAACTCATTATGTATGTCTGATCTTGTGAAAACAATGACCAATCTTCGAGGATTGTACATCTGCCATATAAGATGTGGGGATTTCCCGGAAACATTGATGATAGATGACCTTGTAGGACAGTTGCGAAATTGTCTACCATCAACATGCACGATTGTCGAAGATTCTGTTAATTACAACTATACTCATGTGTGGATTCGTTGATCGGAAAATGAATATTCCTATATAAAGATCGACAAGTGCAGAGTAAAAATAAAGGAGCACAATTGATTTAATCGAAATTCGAATTCTTTGTTTGAGATTTGGGTCATGCGAGTTCAATTCTCGTTCTTCAAATCCGATTCAAG